AAAGAAACTTTAAAAAAAAAAAGTCAATTTGGAAATAAAATATACAGTAGTCCTTTCAGGCTGAACTACAGTGCAGATGTGAGTTACTCTAGTTGCAGCTCACTGGATTTAGGAGGTAATTTAAATTGAACTTGAGCTGCTTTCTCACATTGCACATCATTTTTTCAAGCAAAAACTGCATCAGTTCAGTTCAATGGGTAACATGTGTGTCATGAGAACATTCTTCCCCTTCATTTCTGATCGTTTTGTTACGAGTTTTTGTTCCATATATTGTAAGTTACAGCTGTAATATCGCAGAAAATACTTTTCATTTAATGACTAATGTGCTAGGATTAAAAACACAACAAACTACTGTCAAAAAACATTGTTTAAATATAAAGCAGATAATCGGTTGACCTTTCAGGGCATAAGAAACGCATGAGAGACCCATGTTACCCAGCTTGCATTTCGGGTGAGCAAGCAGCACCGCAAACCAACGAGAAAGAAGATAGAGATAAAAGAGAGATAAACATCCATAAAAGAAGAGTTAAGTGAACTGAAAAAGCTCAGAGAGAGAAAGGAAGAAGGAATGAGGAGGAGAAGAGGAGGCATTCCGAAGAAGAGAGAAAGAAAAAAGAGAAACAGATGCAGTCCATACTGGCATTGTCCGCAAGACACCGCTCAGAGCAAACCACTACCAATCTGTCCACACTACTTCTACTCAAACCAAAACTAAAACGGAAAAGAAACCACACAAGGTTTAAGAAGCACCCGCAGGTTGCTGGGGAGAATTAGAGACCCAGGATTAAGGAAAAATTCGGTTTTAATGACCACAAAAAAAATGCAGCTACTCTAAGTCAACAGGCACCCAACAGAGCAGCGGAGTGGGTGCACTCAAATGGGATATTTTGGCTATTTAATATTTACTAAAGGCAAAGTAATGACATTTTAAAAGCTAGCCTGTTACTGCACTTCTCTGTACGCTTCAGAAAGGAGGGAGCTGTTGACAAGCTGCTATTATTAGTTTCAAACAGCACTGCCCGATGTTAAAAACATTCACTTGTGCTTTTTTTGACTGGTGAAATGCAGTGGCAGACTAAAATTTAAAATGTCCTAGTGACAGGGTCCCAGTTCAAAAACAGTCAAAAGTTCTCACAGGATTAAAGTGAGGGGGTTTCTTAAAAAAATAAGAAAAAAAATAAAAAATTAAAAAACAGTAACTTGGGTATCTCATCACCCAAATTATTAAAAACCACCAGAGGAGAAGAAGAAAATAAAATAAAGACTTGGGGCATGCTTTTAGGTTAGAGGTGAGAAAGGAAAACAATGAACCATTCAGAAAGAACTGCAAACCAATTAATAACTCAATCAATCTCTCAGTTAATCAAATCAATCAAATCAAAGGCAAACTCCAAACCAAAGTGTTAAGTGCAACATCGGTGACGTGTATAGATGACAAAGGTGTATATCTCTGGCCCAGTCAACCTCAGTGGAACTCATCATGGTTCAAATACTTTCAGTTCATTGCACAACTGTTTCAAATCTATTTTCAGCTGCTATTAAACGTCTGCGTATATATTTGTTTCATCCCTGTCTCTCTGTACACTATCACTATACAGTTGGAGATCAAATAACGTCTTTGCCTGTGAGGCAAAATGATGATACTTTATGATGCAGCAAATTCCTCTAATAACTAAACAGACAAACTGAATAAAACAAATCACATCCAAGTACAGTTTAGAAATTACCCAGTGTTGTTTATGAGCAGCCTTGTCGGCCTCTCGAGGGGACAAATGGATTCCCTTTCGAAAGGCATGAAAACAAGTGCCAAGCTCGTTCACCCCTGGGATGCACTAACCTTGTTTGTATGCCTGACCAGTGTCGTCTGAGGTGGAACGCTCCACTACGAGGGAATATAACAGTGCACCTGTGCGCATATTCTGCTTCGAGTTCTTAAACCAGCCAACAGTTGTGGGTCTGAGAGGATTTCAGGCAAACAATTCATTCTGTTGTTGCTGCCATAGACCATCTTTAACACATAGTCTGTAGTAGTGGCCTTGTTTTCAAGAGAAATGACTGTAACTGATGTGACAGAATCAGGGAAAACATGTCCTTGCTTTCATGATGAGAGTTAGATTAGAGGACTGGTACCTTTCCAAGCGTCTTGGTTTCATAGTTAGCTGGAGCCAGCTGATGAATAGTTTAGCTTAGCTTAGCATAAAGACTGGAAACAGCTAGTTTGGCTCTTTCCAAAGATAAAGAAACTCTTCTATAAAACTCCAGCTTGTAATTGTCAGACTATAGATTTTGCACAACTATCTGACTGATTTTTTTTCTTACTTTTTAGCAGAGTTACTCAAGTCTACAGGCTGATATGTAGGCATGACTGATTTTGCATCAGTCTTTTTCCGGGTATCTTCCTTCTTTTTTGGAAAGAAAACCACTATTGTATTTATCAAACTGTAGAGGAATAGAGGAAGCAATCTGATTTTACTTATTTTAATCTATAAGATGCACTAAAAGTAAGCACTAACAGTCCAGAATAAACACAAAAAACACTGAATTTAGGAGGTGATCCACAGAGAAATGAACTGTTTTAATTGCTGACTTATAGACTGTATATCAATGTGAACTCACTGAGGACTGCCTCCACCTACTGAGCAGCCACTTGAGCTACTTCTGACTCCTGAGGACTGTTCTCTGGATGTTTGCAATTAGTGGTGCAACGTTTTTTTTTTTTTTTAGATAGAAGGTGAGCCAGCAAATGGAACTGAATGGTATACTTTACTAGAAGCCGAAAGAATGCTTCTGTAACATTCAGGTCTTTGGCCAGTCTGATCATTTCACCAAATCATTATCTTCTCAGGCTAAATGAAGTGGATTTCTGTCCGGCCACTCTTTGCTTTTTTTTTTTGTTGCATGGTTCTTCTTCCAAAGAGCACTCTCAATACCACATGAATAAAACACTGATTGTCCCTGAAGTGTAAATACAATAGACACTCAACATTTGACTTGTATTTGGGATATTCATTCTTATTCAGGCCCACTGCTGACCACAGGGCCTCTATGTTGATAATAAATGAATTCATACATACATTTCCATAAATTTCATGGGTCCTGAGTAAATCCATTTATGGATCAAATTGTTCCCCATGTCTGCACATTGCTATAGCTGGACAAAAGCAAAAAAAACCCAACAACAACAACTCCTATTTTTCTCATTTGAACTTGAAGTTTCCCAGATGATTTATGAACTCAGAAGGTATTTTGACCCCTCGGTCAAAACACCATAGTTTAAAAATGAGATTCTGCATTTGTTCCTTCGCTCCATTAAATCAGTGTGAATCTTTTTCTACGACGTTACAGTAACAGGCCTGGATATAGCACCTTTGTATCTGTCATGCTATACAGTGTCGATCATGCCAGGGGAATGGACAGCATCCCTTGTGGCAATGATGACAGATCAAATAAAACCAATGTGTAACCAAACCAAGTGCTGAGAAAATGCAGTAGGTTCTATTGACAAATGCAATAGTTTCTGATGCTACTGATGCTCAGCAGACCGAGGCATAAATACCTATCTGAAGCAGCTTCAAATACTGAAAAATCCAAACAAAACCCGTAAATAAGAATGTTTGGTTTGCAGCCTTATTACACTGTACACTATACAGTGAGTGACAAGGTACAGGTGTAAGTAAGGAACAAGTTGTTAGGATTAGTTGGGAAACAAGTTGGTTTTCCATCCCCTGTTGTTAAATTATACAATCTATATATTTATACTGATGTCGGGGTGGAAACATAACTTGAAAATCTGTCTTCTGTACATTTTAAATTGCTAAAAAAAAACCCTCACTGTTTTCCGGCTTGATCGTGCCACATCTGGCTGTTTTATCTGCCAGATGTATTCAGCCGTCTCTTAAGTTCAAATATTGTGCAACTGAAGTTTCCTAATCATTTGAAAGCATGCGAGATGGGTATCAGCGCTCGGTCTGTTTGTGTGTGTGGGAATGGCAGAGCAGGCAGGCAGGAAGGGAGGGAGGGAGTTGGACTACTTACGTTAACCTCAGTGATCGCTATGTCAACAATGCTACCCACAACTATCAAGGCATCAAATGTGTTCCATGCATCAACAAAATAATGCTGCGTAGGGGTGGACAAAAAAAAACAAAAAGAAAAGAAAAAAAGAAAAGGAAAACAACAGAAGAAAAGGACAAAACGTAAGACATTTAAAAAATGGAAAGAACGGAAATTAAAGGAGAGAGGAGAAAAATAAGATAAAAACATTACATACATGAGCACTGGAGTTTTTAGTAGGAGGAGAGAGAGGGGGGAAAGAGTCAACAAAATTAAACGGCAACAAAAGAAAAGGGGGCAGTCTGAAAGAGATGGACAGCAGAGGAAGAGCAGCAGCGGTCGGTCATGCTTGTCCATGAGAGGAAATGTCAACAAGAACAACAGTAAAGAACAACAAAATCACAACTAAAAAAAATGCCCGTTGCTGCAGTTAAAAAATGGAAAGCTGTGTAAGGCTGTTTGTGATTGGTCAGTGAGTTAGTTCAGTTAGTTAGGGGATCAAACCTGAGTGCATGTCACAGTGTGACAAAAAAAAAGAAGAAAAAAAAAGAAAAATCAAGAACCCAACAACATTTGAGACACTGTAAAGAATAAGGAAGGAGGACGCAAGACAGAAACCCTCGGTGTTCAAAGCTAAACCCTGCCTCTGTTGCCTCTACTTTTTGTGAAAACCCAGTAGAAGTTTTTCTTGTTCAGGAACCTTTGTGGCTTTGGGGAGGGGAGATCCCTTGACTGGCAGCGGCCATCTTGGATTTAAGGATGGAGGGAGAGAAAGGAGAAGAGAAAGAGGAGGCAGACGAAGAAGATAGAGAGATGAAGAGAAACAACAGCACAACACGGAGGAGCCACAAAGGAAAGGAGAGCGGAGAGAGATCAAAGATTCAGAAGACACGAGACAGAGACAGAGAGGGTGAGACAAGGAGAGTGAGAGGGGGCTTCGTACTTACGTTGATTTCACTGAGAATGACGTCTATTATGCTGCCAATTACGATGAGGAAATCAAACACATTCCAGGGATCACTAAAGTACCCCTACACAGGACGAGGTGAGCAAGAGGAGGAGGAGGAGGAGGAGGAGGAGGAGGAGGGTAAGAAAGGTAGGTTAGAAGGAAAACAACATCTGCTGCCACTTCGCAGCCCCTATTAAGGAGGTATGAGGTTCTACAGTACACTGAGGAAACAGACAAAATCCGCTATACTTGATGAACCAACACATGAAAGAAGTTTCCATTGTGTTATCTGTTCATCAAGCGCAGCTGAATTTCCTGCTCCGTCAAGGATGGTGTGTTAGATGGCAGTTTTTTATGTCTTCCACCTGCATGTTGGGGCCTTCAGCAGTGCTGTGGCAGTGATTACACTAAAAGCCCACGCTGTTTACTTAACGTATTGTGGGCAATTCATTATCAGCACTGGAACACAGGAAGTATTTATGCAAAAACATCCACAAACCTTCAGGCCAGAGTAGTAGTATTTAATCTGGTATAATAAAATAATTATCTAAATATACAGAGCTGCATCTTAGACAGCTATAACCTGAACCCGAGACTTTGTTATGATGCATATTGAGTGAACTTGTAGTGACAGCCAAGATGAAAGGGATTTTTAAAACTGGCCTGTAAAATAAATCACATTTCATTCCGTTTCTGGTTGACTGTTTTCCAATGGCTCACTCAAATTTTGCATCACTGTAAGCTGGGACAACTAATGATGTTTACACCACAACACTGGAGGAATATGCCAGTTATTGTGTGCTTAAAGATGAGTTTCTAACTAGAAATTTAAAGGATCACTGTCTGTTTAACTGGATGTGAAGCTTCTGACTTTTTTCTAAACGTCTATATCTACTGTAACTAATCTATAGAATAATTGTATAGCTTTCAATAAAAACCTTACACAACAAATCTCACTCAGTCGTTTGCACCAACAAGTAAATTGGAGGATCCAGAGGGGATACTGAGAGGAGATCAATCTTACTGATCTATTTTAAGCTTCATCATCTGTCATCAGCAGCTGAGGTATCATCATAAAAAAGCAAAAGCTCCTCTTGCCATAACTCATCTGCACAACCACATTATGCAAATACAGCGAGGTATCCTTGGATACTGTGGTTTTAATTAGGTTATTTTCAGTCTCAAGAATATTAGTAAAACAGAGCTTGGAATTAGTGTCCAAAAGCTCGCTTATGGATTGATTAAATCTGCAAACTAAACACACCAGAATGCACGCAGCTTTAAAACAGTGAGTTGGAGTGTCAATTATTGGGCACAAAAAAAATAAATAAATCAGTTCTTCATTAGAAAACATACCCAAATAATCAAAATATTAAAAAAAAAAACATAAAAAACAAACAAAGAAAACATTGTTGTCCCATGGAAAAGATGATGAAACCTATTAAACAGAACAGATTAAATACAATAAACTTGTACATAGAGCAAATGTTATTGGACATAATAGAGAGAGAAATGAAAAAAAAAAGTTAGTGAGCTGCTTCTTTCTCCGTGAAGACTGTTAAAAGCAAAGGTTTATCAAGACAAGTCAAGCCATACAAAACATGGTAAGCATTGTTCACTGTGGCTTGGGAATGTGTTGTCATGCTGCACTAGAGACTATATGGAAAAAATCCATTTGTATAGGGTCACATATTCACAGCTCTACTGGAGAAACCTTGACACGCTCATTTATCAAAAAAAAAAAATGACAACCTTCAGAAATCTAGCAGTTTTAAACCAGCCTTACTTGAGGTAAACGCTACATAACATTACAAAGTAGTGCAGCAGGATGTGAATTCCCAAGCCTTTAAAGTTGTTCATTCTAACTGGGGACGTTTTTTTTCTCTACAAAAGTTATTACAAGATTGCCATCTTTCATCCATTTTAATAAAAGCACACATTTTGTAGAACATGATGTGGACTTTCGAGTAATTCAGAAAAATTAAAGATTTACTGGTAATTAGCGATTAGGAAACCTCATCTCCAAAAAAACTGACAGTTTTGTGGATGCTATTCATTAATTTCGCCAACTATCTTCTAGCAATTGACTTTACATATAAAATTAAAGAAAAAAATCATTCTGTCTCACACTAAAAAATAATAATACCTGGAGTAGGTGGGATTGATAGTTCTGAATTTGATTATAAATTATTGATTTTAATGAGCATAATGTCTGAGTGATCCTGGCACTGTTGCTAGAGATCCTGGAGGGAAGGATAAAATAAGGAACAAAAACCTTACCAGGCAGTCTGATTTCACCTTCATATCTCTCCTGCTGACTTTCGTGTATTAAAAAAAAGTCAAACAGTGAGATGAAGCACAGAGGATTCACTTGTTTTTGACTTTGCTGTTTGGCTCAACAAAATCACCAATAACTGGAAAACCTTGGTTCTTCCACAGACTTTTTGGATCGACTGTGCAACAATAGAGATAAGAGTGAAATATGATATTAAACTATGTCTTGCTATTGATTGTGTTCAAGGGCTTTCCACTAACCCTGCTGTAATAGGGGGGAAACATTCCCATCTGTTACTCTTTAAATAGTTGACGCACCAGGAAGATTGTACCAATAAACCCATGCAGCTACATGGCAACAACAGCAGGGTAACAAGGAAGCAGTGAGATTAAAAACCACATGATGCTGTCTACTAATCATGTTTTAAATCCATGGTATTGTAATAGTCATCTGGAGGAAATCAACAAAAGGATTAGGAATGCACAGGACAGTACAACATCAGCAATACATGTGATTCAAAATGTGGTCGTCTAATTCTCTTTATTGGTTCTAACTAGTAGCAATAAGCAGTTGTACATTTATTTAATCTTATTTCATAATCCTAAATTCCATGTTTGTGCTATTCTGTGTTGTTCTATCCTGCAGTTGGAGTGCTGGACCTACCCTGGGTTTGAAGGCGATCAGTTTCAGGATCATCTCTACGGTGAACAGTCCCGTGAAGAGCATGTTGAGGATGTTCATCGCGTCGTTGAAATTTTTCGTCTGTCCATGATGCTGCAGAAACACACAGGCGACTCGTTAATGTCCACATTATTGTCTCGCCTCATTTCGTGTGCATTCGTTCATCGACGTGTTGCTCACCTGCATGGCCAGACAGATGGTGTTGAGGAGGATGAGCGTGAACATCAGGTACTCAAAGTAGGTGGAGTTGACCACATACCACACCTTGTACTGGTATGGGTTCTTGGGGATGTAGCGACGCAACGGACGGGCCTTCAGGGCGTACTCCACACACTGACGCTGTGACACAAATACGCAAGACGTTGTGGTGTTGCTGCCTAACTTCCTCCAGTCTGAGCCTCTCTCTGGACTCAGACCATCATTTAGGAAAAGCTGCAGCACTGTCTTTTTGGCAGTCTTAAAAAACCTTTTCCATCCCCAACTATTCTTCCGTCCTGTCTGAATTTCCATGCTCTTTATGAAACATGGATCATCACAGAGAACACAGCTGCAGGGACTTGGCCTAGCTCCTTGTTTAAGCTTTAGTCACATCTTCTGTCTGAACTGTTGCAGCTCCCTCCTGGCTAGACTCCTGAAGTAGCTCTGCCCCTAAAAAGCTCATGTTCAGCCTCTCCAGATTCATCCATGTCTCACCCCCACTGCCTGGCCTCCATTCTTTCCTCCCTTGTGTCTCCTGAATGACAAAATGACTTTCCCGTTTCAGTCAGAACAGCACAGTCACTCTCTGTCTTCTAACCTGAATACTTCACGTCTATCTTGCCTCTGAATAAGGGCATGAAACTCTAATTATGCAACACACAAAAGAAATTCAGTGATAACTAAAACACACACTAACCTGGTTCTTGTCCAGCTCGCAGTTCTTATACTCTTGCTCTCCTTGCTCCTGGAATGTGACGATGACGAAACCGACGAAGATGTTCATCATGAAGAAGGCAATGATGATGATGTAGATGATGAAGAAGATGGAGATGACCACGCGGTAGTTGTAGATGGGCCCGACGTCCTCAGCGTGAGAGTCTATGGCCCGGTACAGTAACCTGAGAGTGGAGGGGGCGAATAAAGCTTTAATCGGATACCAGGAAAATGAAAACGCAAGCACAAATTAATCACACAATAAACGTATAAATAAAGCTGTGCATTGTGTTTGAATGCAGACACACACCCTGGCCAGCCCTCAAAGGTAGACACAGCAAACAGAGCCATCATGCCTTGCAGGACATCGTCAAAGTTAAAGTCGCTGTTCTCCCACAGTCGCTGGGCTCTTCCAGGCTTCCCCACATCGCCGTCCTTATACATGATGTAAGAACCCCTGCAAGAGCAAACAGAAACAGAGTCACATGATTGTTCTCTTGGTTTGTACGCTAAAGGAGGATTAACAGGAAGGTTCCTTTACCTGCACTCTGCCTGAGTTTGTTTAGAGCTGTCGGTGCAGTAGAAAAACTTGCCCTGATGGAAAGACAAGAAAATGTAGTAAAAAAAAAAACACAGCAACAACACTAAGGATATTTCCCAAACACTTCAAGCAAGGACCCTTGTTCTCTCCTCACCTTAAAGAGTTGTACTCCAATACAGGCGAACATGAACTGCAGCAGCGTGGTGACGATGACGATGTTGCCGATGGTCCTGATGGCCACGAACACGCACTGCACCACGTGCTGCAAAACACACCCAAGATGATGGTGAGTATCTAGTGTGTCTATCTAGTTAAGAAGAGAGCAAGCATGGATTATTAGGCTTTGTTCTGTGTGCTAACCTTCAGTCCTTTGGCCCTGTTGATGGCCCTCAGCGGTCTCAGCACTCGCAGAACTCGCAGGATCTTCACCACATTAATTGCACTGGACCTGAAACATGCACGAGATTAAACTACTGACCAGCCAACATAATCTTAAGGGTAAAAGGTTGGAACAACACATAAATCTGTGAGTCCTCTCAGTAGCGTCTGTATTTTTTAATTTAAAAAAAGTTAAGAAAAATAAAATGTTCAGGACACAAATGAACTGGACACCTAAAGAAAAATCGCATTGAAACTCACTAACAATGACAAAAATATATATAAAATAATCTAAAAAAAAAAAAAAAAGCACTTAAAAAAGAAAGAAACAAAACTTAAAGTTTGGCTTAAATGGTGCAAAGTCAAGACAATATTTTTATTCAAAATATCCTTACTGAATATATGCAAGAAAGCATAAAATATAGTTTAAGCTACTCTTATTACTACTTGTAACAGGGGATTGGAGGAAAATATTTCTGTTTATGCTGTATTTTTGTTGTAAATTTTAGAAACTAAAATAATACAGGATACAACTTTTTTGTACGAAAATAAATTAGGATCATATCAAGATTATATGTTATTGTCAAGAGTACTAATTATCTGTTCAAATTAGGTTTTATTCACTGACAAAGAAACGTTAGTTAAAGCATCGTTCATAACATAAATCGTCCGCAACAGATTTTGGTAACAGTACATATGTAATACTGTACAACACACAAAACACACACAAACACATACGTGGACAAACACGTACGCACAACACAGACGCACCAACACAAAGACGTTAACAGACATTTACAAGCAAACAGAGATTTGTTGTGCTGGAAGAGAGTGTCAGTTCAAGCCAAAGGTCCAACAGTGACCTTTCAAAGGAAGTGTCTCAAAAGAATGGTGTCTACATACTAAACAAAAAGAGTCAAACTAATACATTGACATTTTGAATTTTGTAATAAATGTTCGGAAAGAGCTTGAACATTGGTTCTTCCGTGATCTGAACTGGGCCTCCCACTGCGATGATTACAACTTGAAGTCTACCGATATCACGCATGTTGAAAATATACTTTTGTTCTCCTTGGGAAGATAACGCGCCAGTTGTTCAGATAACCGAAGAACAAATACTGAAACTTTTTCCCACAGTGTAACAAATGTAGAAGGAAAAAAGTGAATTCAAAATGTCAGCGTATGTTTTTCAGGGAGTGACTTTTGTAGACGGTTAAAGGAGTGAAACAGTCGTCTGTGCTGACCTCGAAACAGAAAGTAAGTAAAACACCTGTTGTGCAACTTTTTTTTTTTTTAAACATACGAATATAAAGTTTAAAGGCAGTTAAAGGTAGTTTGTGTGGAGCAGGATTTTATCAATCACATATCACAGTCAAATCAGCTGTGATGATATCTTCTAGTTAAATCACAATCCATAAAAATGTAAATAAATTAGAAACATAATGTTTTAAATGCAGCAAAGTGTAGCTGTGGCTGTTGAGGCGTGAATGAAAAATATGATTTACCAGCGACCTGAAGTACACTATATATATATATGAAAAAGCAAAAATAGATATGAGCTCATCAGATGTTGGTTTGTATTGGCGACGTTACCGTAGTTCTTATATGTCTGCTGATGTTTGCCATATTTCATGCTGTCACACTCTGGGACTACTCAGGGTGACAACACAAACAGGCCATCTGTCATGTGAGTGTATACAGTTTTCTATGTGTTTTTTTGATGAATGCCTATAATTTACACCCATTTTCTTTACTCTTTGTAGCTTGTCCTTTCTGCTCTGCTACAGCTGTTTATTTACAACACAACAAGTATAATCTGTAGATGTGTATGTAATTATTGGGTAGTAATAACAGAAACAACCTACCACTACTATTACAAAGTGATCACAATTCATTTAACTGTGATACGTTAAAAAAAAAAATCCCACTCACTCACTACCTTTAGCAGGCATAACCACGGAGTTTTAGCATTCCGGTGTCATTTCTATAGCCCAGGAGAGTTTCATTTATCCAGAAATCTGAGAATTTAATTTTGACCTGCCCCCAAATCTATGACAAAGAACAGATGAACAAACTCATTAACGCTGATTGGATTTGAAAGGTGACGAAAAAAAAGAGGACCCAGGACAGTTTACCCAATGAAACGCATCTTCTAATTTACAAACAGCTGCCTATGAAAAGGCATTTTGACATGAGTCAAGTGCAAAAGCATGCGTTCATAATAAAGAAATCATCCATTTCTTATCAATACAATCTTATCCCACTAAACTACACCAGTCAGTAACATCACAGATGAACAGATTTTTTTTTTCTTGCTCTGGACATCGACTAAACTCTCCAAGACCATAGAAATATCAAATCAAAAGAGTGACAGCTTTACACGGTTAAGGTGAAGGTCTGTTGAAAAGGGGTTATTAATACGGACTAATATGGACTTACGTCGAGAAGTCTAGTCTATTAAGCATTAGAGACAGAGAGTGTAGCATAGCATATTAAACATCAGAACAGCATTTCAAGGAGTTATTTGCTACAAGAAGCAGAAAACATTTTTAATAAACATCACAAAGAGAGGAAGGATTAGGAGTAATGAAGTGTGAAGTTGTTAAGAGAATACAGAGAGAAGTGTGAAGCATGGGGCAATTTAGAAAGCAAAACGTTTAGCCACTTTACAGCTTGATTTATGTGTCTCATGCAGTAGCCAATATCTGGCCGCTTGGTCTTGTGTGTTAACATATAATAACACAAATATATTTCGGACAATAATTGGAATGTCTACTTTTTTGTCAACTAAAAAAGCAGTATTAAAAACATGCACCAGATCGCTTTATATTGCACTCACTGTATTCCAGAGGAGATGAGCGACACACTGACCACCACCAAGTCCAGGATGTTGAAATAGTTTCTACAGAAAGAACCTTTATGGAGGAAGGCTCCATAGGCCGTCATCTGTAGGGAGTCAAATGAACACACAGCTTAGTGGTGCACAAGTAGACGACGTATGATGTTGGCTGTCTTATCATTCACCTTGAACAGGAGTACAAGGGTCAAATGTACAGTACAGTACAATTTTTTTTTAAAAATTCAGTTTTCTAGATCTCTCCATCTATCATCGGTGACCTCTTATCCTTTGCAGGGTCACAGGGGGCTCCAGCCTCTCACCCTCGGTTTGTCAGCTGTGGGGTGAGAGGTGGAATTACATGATTTTGCTATACTATATCGCTCAATGCGTCTTTTGAATTGTTCTGAAGCTGTAAATCCTTCAAACATCAGCTACTGTTGCTCAGCTGCACAGCCAAATGTCTCCAATTTGTCTAATATTTGCAGGACACGCTGTCAAAGACGTGAAGGCACAGTGAATTCCTCTGGATTATACGGCCCGTTCCTCTTTTATTACGAACATCAAACACTACCTTGAGAATGATCTCTATGGTGAAGAGTCCAGTGAAGACATGATCTGCATAGCCCAGGATCTGAAAATGCAACCAAAAGAATGCTTTTTAGTTCAAAGATACCATTTCTACATTACTGTTTGGTTAATGTGCACCACACAAACACATTTCTGGGATTTAAAATATCAGCCCTGGTCAATATGCATTAGCTTTCTGAATGAGTAGAAAAAAAAGAGCCGTTATATCATCAGCTGTATTTGCCCTAATAATAAACTATGACGAACCAAAGTTGTATAATATGTTGACCTTCACCTTCAGAACCTAATTCAGTGAACACCGACTTGGCATTCTTGCTAGTTTTTAGCATCCACTAGGAACAACACAGCTCCTCCTTGGCTTACATTGAACTGTTTACGCAGATGAAATAAAGAGAGGAACGGGAGGAAGTGCAATTCTTTAGGGGTTGAAGCTGAATGTATGGTCAGCTATAGTTCTGGATGAATCCACAACATACTGAAAGAATAATGCTGAGGTTCAGGTCTAAGGGTAATTAATTCCAAATTGACAGGCTTTGAAAACAGAGCAGAACCTGAAAACAGGATGTTTATTTCATTAAGGTTTCAGACTAAGGTTAATTGGGGTAAACTAATACACAGCATCTCATACGAAAGCCCAGGAAAATACAATAAAACAGATCTTTATTGGCCTCAGGGGGCTGGTGTTTCTCACAAGAGAGGAAACAAAAGCAGATGCGGTACTCAGTCTTTACATTAGACTACAGCTTAATTACAGTCATAAACACTATATTAATATATGAACAATATGGTGATGCTCTATTGTTGTACTCAACTGCTGAGACTGTATATCCTTCAAATAAACAAACAGCAAATGCTTTGTGGTTTTAGAGCTTTGATTGTGGCAAAATGTTTCCTGCTGTTGCAAACAAATTAAAATAAACTTGGTTTCTTGGTTAAATGCAGATTAGCAAAAACCCGAGGAACACAGCTTTAAATGTGTACAGCACCACGACTACAGTGTTGTGTATCCTGAGTTAAAATACAAACACAATAAAGCTTAAAAGGCGTTTCACAGCTTCTTAACATGAAGTTAATAATAGTTACAGTACTCTGGAAGAAATCTCATTAAGTGTAACAGGCCGCTGACAATAAGCTTTGGTTCCTCTATATGTTGCTGTCAGCTTTAATCCATTTAGTTCAGAATGAATGTGTGTGGGCAACTAATGATGGCTACAAAGTCGTCAGTCTGTACTTTAATGTATATCCGGCTTTGAAAGCGTGCGTACTGTATTTATACTATAATACCTGTGTTTTCTTTATTTATTTTTCATTGTGTGTGAGCTACCTGGTTTCTGAAAGAGTCGTTCTTGACTGGGTCCTCTGCTGCCAGACTGATGCTGCTGAGCAGGATGAAGAAGAGGATGAGGTTGGTGAAGATGTTGTGGTTGACGATCTTATGGCACAGAACCCTGAATCTGTAAAACAAAGTAGTAAAGTGAGAGTTAGAGGATCAAATTTCCTATATTTCATTGCAAAAACGAGTGACCAGAACTTTCGTAGGACGAAAAATGCAGGAGAGAACCAGACGGCGAAGACAAGGAAGGTACAGAGCAAGATGACCAAAGATGAGAGGCATCTTCTTACTTGTTGGTGTGGCTGAAGATGAAGAAGGCGCGGGCCTCAGGCATGGGAACAGCCTTCTCCTTCAGCTGGATGTCAGAGAGCGGCCGCGGCCTCGGGCCAACTGGCATCTCTGGCTCATCGTCGTCATCGTCTCCTGATGGCGAGGAGATAGAAGAGGAGATAGAAGAGGAGATAGAAGAGGAGAGACGGGAGGAGGAGAACGAGAAAGAGGGAGAGTGGTGAGAAAAAGTTGGAAAAGTGGATATTAAATTCTTACAGGTAATGAGCAGCTGTGTGCATTTAAATGCTAGCTCTTCCTACATCTTTACTAAAAGCTTAATTGTTGATGATGACACTGATTGATCTGATCTCCCTGAGCTCTCATTGGCTGTGTATTACCTATGTAATCATTGGCAGGATATGGGTTCTTCTCTTCACTTTCATCTCCACAGCAGTCGTCCATGTTGATCTGCGAAATGAAAGTACTCATTAACTTGCTCTTTTCAACATACTGTACCTGCTCATTCATGCACCTACTTTTATTTATCTTCATTCATGTGTCTTTGTGTACCTTCGTTGCAGTGTTGGTCTCTCCATCAGACGTAATGGACTTCAGTTCGATCTTCTCCTTCTTCTCTTCCTCCAGAGGCGGCTTCTCGTTGTCATGGCGCTTCTCTGGACTGGCAAGCCTGAAAAAGAGGAGATGTTCAGCATCTTTCCCCTTCTCCTGACTCTTGCAGTTGAACCACTGATTTGCATTGAATGACACACATTACACCATGAAGACAAAATAAACGTTTGCAATAATGGGAGTGTTTTTCAATCACGTAGGGCAGTTGTGCTGTTATGATCAAACCAGAAGAAAAGTGGGCAGGGAAAATGACTGTTTTCCATTACACTTTCTACTCAGATCAATACAGGTCGCAACCAAGGAGGTGTTTAAAGATTTGTGGCACTGAAAGGGGAAACTGTCTTCCTCAACTGCACGAAAGTTGCACAATGCCGTTGCTGACAAATTAGCTTTATAAGCAATAAGATGCTAAAAATACCCAATAAAACCGGTTTAGAGAAAGGGCAAAGCAGGCAAATGTCAGCTTGTCTTAAAAACCAAAGAATGTGTTCGTAATTGTTAAGCAGTTTTTGTGGGTTGATTTCAAGGTGCTAGTATCAGCATCCTTAAATACCACTGGGCATTCCTGGCTATCCAGCATGCTGTAAACTGAAGCTCTCCCTTGGTGCTGTTGAGATTGGCCGAGCTTCCCCTCTCCCTCTCTCTGCCCCTGCAACTTTATTTGCTGTTGGCAAGACACAAAACGTGTTCTCCTCTTTCTCTTCCTTATCTCAAGTGCCTCTATTTCTGTTTTCTGCTTTACCTGGCCAGTTTTTTCCTCTCCTTCTCCTCCTCCTCTTCTTTCTGGGCTGATGTCAGGCTCTCAGCATCTGCCAGGTTGTCGACAGCGATGGCCAAGAAGACATTCAGGAGGATATCTGTTCAGAGGGGTGGTGTTAAGGATGGTGCTGACCCATCAGATGCATAAACGAGGCTGGTTGCAAAACATCTCAGTAACTTTTAATCTAATCTCCTTATCTGTATGATATTGAACTTTCGACAGCTTGAGGAGAGATGCTCTGCGATATTCGGTGAAACATTTTCGGCTTCAGGACGGTATCCCCATGCAAAACACGTTCTTTCCTCCTGCAACTGCATCTTAAATAGGGGTTGGATATCAGATCTGATTTAATTCAAATCACAGTCAGCAACACTGTTATCCATTTGATGGTAGGATTTATCTGAATCAGAGAACAAATTTGACTGTCAATTATTGCCTCCGACTTGCCACATGCTGATTTTTCAAGTCCTTCCAGCATGTGTAACCATTAGCTCCTCATTATGTAGGCGGCTGTGTAGCTAACTAATGTAGACCCCTGTTGTGGTAGGATACAGTTTCCGCAGATGAAGAGGATGATGAAGTAGATGCAGACCAGCATGCCAGGAAAAGAGGGACCACCGTAGGCCATGATACCGTCATACATCACGGAGTTCCAGTCCTCTCCTGTTAGGATCTGTGGAGAAATAACCAGAGTCAACATCCCATTTGCATAAAGAAATTCTTGGAAAGAAGTCTCACCCTTATGACAGTGATAGATTACATTTCATTTTACAGTTGATTACACAGTGTTTTGTTCTGTACAAAGATGCAAGGATGATAATTTGTCAGACAAAAACTGAGAATGTTGCAGCGTCCTTACCTGAAACACGGTGAGCAGAGACTGGGGAAAGTTGTCGAAGGTGCTGCGTCGGGTCTCGTCGAAGTTGAATTTCCCCCCAAAGAGCTGCATGCCCAGCAGGGAGAAGATGATGATGAAGAGGAAGAGCAGGAGCAACAGGGAAGCGATGGAGCGAACGGAGTTGAGCAGGGAGGCCACCAGGTTGGACAGGGAGTTCCAATATCTAAGGGAGAGAATTAAAAACTGTGAAGTCTATCAAGGGATATGTGTGAATGTGGGCAAATAAGTCTGTGTACAAACACTTATCTCTTAAAAATACACATTCACGTTGACCTGTCAATACATGATTCTCTGCATCTTCTCAAGATCAAGCATGGTGATAAAAGTTTCTACTGCCTTTCTCTGAACTCTTTAGTTTATCAAATAGCAATGCTAAGAATTAGACAGGATTTGTAATAACCTGGTTATTTTGAAGATTCTGAGCAAGCGCACGCAACGTAACACAGAGATGCCGAGAGGAGACATGATCTTTGTTTCCACCAGAATGGTCTCCAGAATCCCTCCGCATACTACGAAGCTGTCGAACCGATTGAAGAGTGAAACAAAGTACGCCTGTGGACAACAAGGGAAGAACGTTAAAGCGGTTGAACGCCGAGGAGAATAATGTCAAGGGTAAAGATTTCACCAAAACAGCCTCCTACCTGTAGACCCAGACTGTACATCTTCAGCAGCATCTCACCAGTGAAGAGCGCAAGCAAAACCTTATTGGCAATGTCTGGGGAGAAAAGAGAACAAGAGACATTAATAGAAATATAGATGGCAAAGAAATTGTAGAAAGATGAATGATGTAGACCGAATCAGACATAGGTGTATACATGTTTGTGGGTAACGCACCTTGTACATCGGTTAGCCACTGAGGCTGCTGGTGATGTTCAGAGGCGATGGTCAGAGTGTTGAGGAAAACCAGAAAGATGACCAGCCAATAAAAAACCTGCGATTTGACCGCCGCCCGGCACTTCCTCCTGCACAGCCTGTTCCACCTCCGAGAGTAGCGGCTGAGAAGGAAGAAGGAGAGATTGAGAGGCGAGAAAAGATGGGAGAGAGGAGCATTCGGGAGGAGAATGGTGAAAGAGAGGAAGGAGGGTCAGAGATAGAGGGATGGACGAAGGGTAAGATGGAGAGTCAGATGAGGATGAAGAGAACGACAGAAGAAAACCCATGATCGAAGAAAAAAAAAAAACAGAGTGATCAAAAGAAACAAGAGAACAGAGTGAAAAACAAAACAGCGGAGGAGAGAGAAGAACAAGAAAGAATCAATTAGTCTGTCGACAGAACAGTGATGACACCACCCCTCGGCCCGTGGATGTCTGTTGTTTGAGAGCAGAGCTGCGGAACAGAGTTAGTCATCCTCAAAGACGTTTCACACCAAGGAGGAGCCAAAATGAAGAGCTTTGTTGCAGAATGAGATATGCACCATTGGAGAAAAAAAACAAGAGCACTTGTTCTTACAAAAATGATTGAAGGGACAAATTTAAAGTGAAATGTGTTATATTGTGATCCGTACTTCAAGGGAAATGCGTGCTTCAAAAGAAGAAGTGGTTCATTTTTAGCGTGACAAACGTGTTTTGTGTTTTGTTTTTAGAGAATTCAGTATGTTGTGAAGTCTTTTTTTTTGCACTTTCTGCGCTTGCTATTGTGTAAATTTGAAGTTATTTGTTTCTAGTAAATAATAGCTCCACAGCTTGGGGTCACATCTATGCTACCAGAGAGAGTCTTAGCATTATTTTTTTTTTTCTTTTACCAACGTGCATGTACCAATGATTTGACAGCTATAATTTCATAATTATCCTTTTTGGAGGAAGTGATTTGAAAACAAAGGAAAACAGTAACCTGTGCTGTTTAAACGGTGGAGAAGCAGTGAAGCATGAATCTGACTCTGGATTTTCTGTTTTAAACATGTCAAAGTCAATATTATAATGTAGATTTTACACATCACAGCTACAACTATAGTAAAACCCTGGCAACATGAAACAAAAAAAATCAAGAATTCGTTCCAAATTACCTTAAAAGTTAATGAGAAGGTAAAAATTTGTTCATAATAGATTGCTATGAAACAAAACATTAAGACATAAATCCAAGAGAATCCTCATACTGCTGAGAAAATCTTCCATCTCTCTGTATCTATGCGGGTGTCTATCCACCATTCGACCCCTCCGTCCACCGCAGCAGACTAGCAGGGGGATTCGTCATCTGCTTTAACTGCTGATCCTTTAATTCAACCAGATCAACGCAGCTCACCAGGAAGTCTTCTATTCTCTTTGTCTATACAAAATTCATGTTTCACAAGTCTTCTGTTTGAGCGTGTGAGAGCTGTTTAGAGCCAGTTATGGCGCACAGCGGCTTCTGCCATGATGCTCACACTGAATGTTACATGAGACACGAGTCACAACACAACACAAGCGGACATGCATCCCTACACTAAAAGGCATGTCTTCTTTGATTTACTTTTTAATCATGTTTGTGATTGTAATTGATAGAAAAAACTCTGTCAAAACAACCTGTGCTGCTGTTATTATTAAAGTGTACAGGATGAAAACAGTTAAAGGTATGTAAAGTGTTCTGATTCTGTGGGAAACATTCCACTTTATTGTTTAGAAAATGGCCAGATCTCTTTGAAGGAGTAATCTGACCATTAGATAAAAGTGGTTATTTTCTTATCATGACCCAGATAAGAAGATTGATATCACTGCCATATCTGTACAGTCTTTAAAAGCAGCTGGTGAGCTTAGCTCAGAGGGGGAAACAGTTAGCCTCCCTCCAAAGTTAACACAATCCTAAATTCTTGTCATCATTGTGACCTAACAAACACTCCTGTGCTTGGCTAAGAAATAATCTAACATATAAGGTAGATATAAGATGATAGTTGCTTTGATCTCCTCATCAAACTCTCTGTAATAAAGCTATCAAATGTATTTGTTGAACTATTTAATTAAAGAACAAGTCTACGTCAGTTCGTCTGTGTTTCTCGTACTCGCCTGTACACAAACACACACACACACAGCGACCATACAAATACCACAGCATCAGAGATATTAGAACAGGTGAATCAGAAGACTACGGGAAACAACATGTACTAACCTGAACTTGGATTTGGAGATCCTAATTCTGGAACACAGAAAACAGAATGGATTATACATACACACATAACACACATACAGACAGGTACACAACGTGAAAGGGGTGATTTGAGAGGAATAAAGGGAAATAAATTCCCTTCCTACTTGATCGACCTTAGCTGCTTTTAGAAAGCGAACATTTCCTAGTTTAGAGTCTTGAAATGCGCAAAAAGTCATCGATCCTCTCTCTCTGCAAAACCACAACATGATCAAAGAACATGTTTGCTAAAAGATCCATTTTTGCACCCACTGGTAACAGACTCTGGGTACACTATGAGAAAATAAACATCACCATTATTATCACCCACTTTTCTTTTGAACAAATCATCCCCCTGCAAACACATATACAGTGGCATCCAGTCAAAAGAAGACAGAATATGTTTGGATTTCCTCCAATCAGTCCTGGTGTGAAAAAATAAACACAATTTGATAATAGAAAAAGAAATGTCTGTTGATTGTTCACCACTGTAACAGNGAGAAGAGAAGAGAAGAGAAGAGAAGAGAAGAGAAGAGAAGAGAAGAGAAGAGAAGAGAAGAGAAGAGAAGAGAAGAGAAGAGAAGAGAAGAGAAGAGGAGAGAAGAGAAGAGAAGAGAAGAGAAGAGAAGAGAAATTCCGACTGTGGATGAAATATCAAATAATTTGTATACGTTCGTTCAGATTAAATTATTAGACAATCAGCTGATTTTATCATCAGAAACAACCACTTACGGGGAAGCTTACAGCCAGAAATGGTTTAACTGTAACCAAATGAATCAATAAAAAACACATATAAGTATCCCAAGCCCTTTTGAAGCTCTTCGGGAGTGTCTGTGTTGTGGTTTTGTTGGTTAAAGCAGATGAATTAACTAACTGGCTGACTGGCTGGCTAACCGACCGACTGACTAAAGCAATAAAATGTGTCACTGACTGACTGAACGGAAGATGAAATGACTGACTGCCCGGAGATGGGAGGTGACAGCTCACACGTCTCTTCTCTTCATGTGTCCGTCTCAATTATGAAATCAGCGGGTGCAGAAGTAGCTCATAACCCGTCGAACGTCTCCTTAGAGATGCGAAGAGGAAACTGACAAACACAGAAAAGTCTCGTCTCCACAATAGTGAGAGAAAATGTCCCTGACCGAATGTACTGCAGCCTCAGACAGACAGAATGAGGGTTTGTATTCACAAGCCTGTGCAAATGTTACTGTTCAATACAGTCAGACTTTTATGTAAGTTTTCAAACCAAATAAAGTTTGATCTGCAGCCATTTGAAAAGTTGCACTTCACTTTGGTTAAATTTTATTTATTAGACGAGAGATATGTGTGAATTAAATGTATTTCTTGTGCCACAACAAGTTGATTAATGATATGCAAAATAGATAATTTATTAAAATGTAGGGACAGAACTTCACTACTACATATTTTATCTTTACTAAATGCAATAATAAAGTGAGCAAAATTCACCTGCTGACTCATGATACAGTCAAAAGCTTCAGAAAAAGCAACAAATGAAGCCTAAATTAAGATTTTTTTTCTCTGTGCTGAAACAATTTAGTCGACCGACAGTCGTGCAACCGAGCAGAGGATTGTTGCGGCGCAGCGTGTTGCAAATAATACTGCAATATCAATGCATGCCATCACAATTTGCAAAACTAGGCAACCAGGCATGGTGGGAAAACCCTATTTGTACCAATTCTGATGATTAAATAATTATATTAGGATTTTTTTAAAGTAAGTGCTGGCATCAGTATAAGGATTTCTTGCTCTTGTTTGTCATATATGGCATCAAAATGCATTTCATTTTGCTTTAATTCCAACTGCAGTTATTCAACAAATGGAAAAAGTAAAGCACGTTTCTAAACTGTGGGTAACAAAACGCTGGTTTCTCTTCTAGTCGGCAGTATGAGTTGAGTTTATGGCACCTTCTGAAGCCTCAGATAGGACATGTCCTTCGTTTTGAGTTATGACAGGGTACAAATAAGCACAAACGAACATAACAAAGACAAAATAACAGATGAATAGGGATGGTACAGATAAACAACAGTGTGGCATTCAAGTGTGCCTACTGGCTTTATTGTTCCTCTTGGTCGAGAGTGTTTTCGATTGGGTTTGAAATCGTCTATTTTGCGCTGTAACTTTCTGCGTTGTGTTCCATTGTGCACCACAGTGATGAACGGTTCTGTATGTAGGTGTGTGTTTGCTTGTGTGAACTGAAGCGAGGCCCGCTGGGGTCACGGCTCCTGCGTGGCCTTGTGTCTAAGAAAGAAAGCAACGCACTTGTTTGAATAATGTAAAAAATGAAAGCAGAGGGGAGAGCGGGAGCGGGTGAGTCAGCTGTTTGTGAGCTCCCACAGGGGAGGAAGAAAGCACTTCAGCAGCAAACACAAGAAGGGGAGAGAGATAGAGAGAGAGCAGGAACAGGGGGAGAGAGATGAAAGAGAAAATAAAGGTGGATTACTACTACATGTAGATTTATATAAGATGAAGATGTCCTGATTTTCTGTATCTTGTCAGCTCCCAAACAGTGATTGAGTTTTTCTTGCGCTGCATGAATCAACACTTTGACCTCATGACGGGCTTCATTCTGTCATTTCCTCTGTTAATGTGCTCAACATTAAAGAACTGTGTCGG